TTCAAGTAGCTGGAACTACAGGAACGCGCTACCACGCCCAGCTAATTTTTTGATTTATTGTAGAGTTGAGGTCTCGCCAGGTTGCCCAGGCGAGTTGTGAACCCGTGGGTTCAGGGAATCCACTCACCTCAGCCTCCCAAGGCGCGGGATTACAGGCCCAGCGAGAAGCTATTTATTAAATGAATGACTAAGCGTTCCTCAAATCAGTCATTAAAGACAATGGGCAAGCCATTTCTTTCTGTAGACCTCTTTTTCCTGTTTTTTATTTTTTTATTTTTTGAGTAGGATTCTCACTGTGTCGCCCAGCTGGAGTGCAGTAGCACACTCACGGCCACCACAGCCTTGACCTGCTGAGCTCAGGTGATCCTTCCGCCTCAGCCTTCCAAGTAGCCAGAACTATAGGCACATGCTACCACACCTGGCTAATTTTTGGTTTATTGTAGAGATAATGTTTCACCAAGTTGCCCAGGCTGATCTCAAACCCGTGAGCTCAGGCAGTCCTCTCACCTTGGCCTCCCAAAATGCTAGGATTATAGGTGTGGGTCATCGTGCCTGGCCTACTTGGCCATTTACAAAATTTCATTCAGTTGATGTAATCTCTCTCAGCTGATAGTTCAACTATAAATGTTGACACCTCTGCAGGCAGCCAAGACAGCTTTAAATTAAGGTCTATACTTACTTGATATATCTAATTTTAGAAGTAAACATCCACAATATGTACAAGTACATGATATTTGTATCCCAAATCTAAGTTGCCACATTTTTTAATGTAAAAGTTTAGGGATTTGGTTAAGGTTTGTCATCCTGAAGTACTTGGTATTGGTTGCTTCTATAATAACAGCTAATGTTAATCAGGTGCTTACTCAGTGCCCAGTACTGTGTTAAGTACTTCACATACATTAACTAGATTTTTTTTAAAGTCAGGTTTGTTGAGGTATAAGCTTTTTTTTTTTTTTGAGTTGGAGTCTCACTCTGTCACCCAGACTGGAGTGCAATGGCCGCTCCCGGCCACTGCAGCCTCAACCTGCTGGGCTCCAGTGATCCTTCCACCTCAGCCTACCAAGTAGCTGAAACTACAGGCGCGTGCTACCACACCCGGCTAATTTTTTTGATTTATTGTAGAGATGAGGTCTCGCCAAGTTGCCCAGGTGGGTCTTGAACCCACGGGTTCAGGCAATCCACTCACCTCAGCCTCCCAAAGGTGCGGGATTACAGGCTGAGCCACTGAGCCTGGCTGAGGTATAACTTTTATACAGTACAATTTGCCCTATTTAGTTTTACAGTTCTGTGAATTTTGGTGGCATATATCTGTAAGTCGTATAACCAGTACCACATTCAAGATACAGAATATTTTCATGACCCTAAACAGTTCCCTTGTTCTCCTTTGTAGTCAATCCCCTTTCCTCAGTCCCAGCCATTGGCAACCATTGATAGGATTTGGTCCCTTTTGTTTTGCCTTTTCTAGAACGCCGTAGGGGAGAATCATTTTATTCAGCCTAATGCTTTTTATTTATTTATTTATTTATTTATGATTCAGAGTCTCACTCTGTCACCCAGGCTGAAGTGCAGTGGCACACTCACTGCCACTCCAGCGTCCACCCGCTGTGCTCCGGCGATCCTTCCACCTCAGCCTTCCAAGTAACCAGAACTACAGGCACACACTACCACACCTGGCTAAGTTTTGATTTATTGTAGAGACGAGGTCTTGCCAAGTTTCCTGGGCTGGTCTCGAACCCGTGGACTCAGGCAGTCCTCTCGTCTCGGCCTCCCAAAGTGCTGGGATTACAGGCTGAGCCCCCAAGCCCGGCCCATCCTAATTAATGCTTTTAGATACTTTGATATTGTGGCATATTTCAGAAGTTCATACCTTTTTATTGCTGAGTAGCAGTCCATTGTATGGATATACCACGTGTCTATCCATTCACCATTTGATGGGCATTTAGGTTTACGGTATTTGGTAATTATAAACAAAACTACTATAAATATTTGCCTACTTTTTTTTGAGTCATAGTCTTACTCTGTTGCCCAGCCTGGAGTGCAGTGGCACACTCACTGCTACCGCGTCCTTCACCTGCTGGGCTCAGGTGATCCTTCTGCCTCAGCTTTCCAAGTAGCTGGACCTACAAGCGGGCTCTAACATGCTCGGCTAATCTTTTGATTTATTGTAGAGAAGAGGTCTCACCAAGTTGTCCAGGCTCAGGTTTCATCTGAGCCTCCCAAAGTGTTGGGATTACAGGTGTGAGCCACTGTGCCCGGCCTTGCATTAACAGATATTTTGTGTAAATATCTAGGAGTGGGATTATTGGATTGTATGATACATGTATGTTTAGCTTTATAAAAAGCTGCTAAACTGGGAGCAACGTAACTATACCATCTTGCATTCTCATCAACAGTGTGTAAGAGTTGTTTGTTCCATATCCTCACCAACACTTAGTATTCAGTGGTGTTCTGTTTTGTAATAGTATTGTGACATTAATTTGCATTTTTCTATTGAGTATTTATGTTGATCTTTTTGTGTGTTTTTCATGAGATCTTTTCACCTTTTCTGTATCTCTTCTTTGGTAAAATGTCTGTTCAGATATGATCATCTGAAAATCTAAGTTTTTTTTATTTTTGTGTTTTGAAAGCACTTTTATGTAGTCTGAATAGCAGTACATGGACTTATTTTAATCCCCACAAGAATCTTCTGTGGTAGTTACTATTAACCTATATTAAATAAGTTAAATAACTTATGACACAGAATTATTAAGTGATTGTCCAAAATTAATAGCTAATAATAGGTAGCAGAGCTGGAATTTGAACCCAAGTAGATTGATTTTAGAACCTGTGCTCCCTCTTTTTTTTTTTTCATTGATACTGTAGTGTGTGGAGATTGATTTCTTGGGGCTGTGAATAGAACCAGAATCCACTTCCTGTAGGTGGTACAATCATAATGGTGGTACAAAAATAATGGGAACACTCCTGGGCAAAGGGCCAATTAACATACGTAATAGCAACTTTGGAATAATCTCCTCAGGAATAGTTAAAATACTTGTTTCTGTTGAAGAGGGGTAATTATTTTCCCTTTAAATTTTTTACTTCACTTTTACATATTGGTGGCTAAACTTCTAAATTATATTACATATATATTATATTACATATATCTGTCATTATCAAGTAATGAGATACTTTATATAAATGGATTTTCTCAGCAGAAGCTTCTTTTTTGTATTCATAGTTCATAAAAACTTCTCATGCTTGATGTTCACTTTGTCTTTTGAAACTTGTCTTATATTAATGCTGACTTTGAGAAACTTAGTGTGTGGTGCTATATACTTAGGGAATATATACAATTTATAGATGGTACAGAATGGCTTTAGATTTGAGGTTTTTTTAAGTTATATTTGTAGTTTTATAAGGTGGGATTTTTTTTTTTTTTTGGCTTTCTCTCATTATGAACTCTGTCACTAGTTTATTCTGATACTATCCTTTTACTATTACTCTCTTTCACCCTGATAATTTTTATTTCTAACGAACTAAAAGAAAATAATGAACATTGATATTACATGTCTTTATAATTGCACTGATATCGTCTAAAATAAGTTCCAGCTCTGGGAAACAACTTGGGCGAGTTTTCCAGTGAACCAGGGAATCTCCCATGACTGCTTGGAGGGAGGTGTTTCTTGGTACATGGGTTCTGAATAGTCACTCTGGATAAGTGAATTAAAGTTGGTCAAATATGACATTTGACAATAGAAAATGTGATATATTTTTTCTTTTAACATAATTTTTATTAGTAATTTGTTAAACCATGGAGATATATTTTAGTAAAAAGATAAATCAAGGAATGTTCCGTAGAATGGAATAAATAGACACACATGAGGGCAGAAAGTTGGTTCACAATTGTGTTTTGCAGCAGTTTGTAAAGTTCCTAAGTTAGTAATAATTTGTGTTCTCATCTGTGCCTCTGGTAAGGCAGAATAATTACTCCCAAGTAATTAACTAGAGGGAGAAAACTTTGCTAAATCTTGTTTACTTATTATAAAATATTAGGACAAAGGCTACCTATTGAGGTGCACTTTATCATTTCATGTGCTTTTGGACATGCTTAGTGCTTTATAGCCATTTTGACTAATTTAAACTCTTAGAGAAAATTAATAAATATTTACCCAGGGGCCAGGGTAAGTAGTTCTAGCAGTATTTCAGAAGTGTGGGTCCCTTGTCAGATATACTGTGACTTGAAGGGCAGAGCTTCCCTGGTCATATTTGTTGACCCCTTAGGCTGGCCACGTGCAGTGCTGTGGAACTGTTGTAGTGTGCCTGTTACGTGGGAGGCTTTGCAATACATATGGAAAATTTTGTTCAAAAGGTAAAGAAAACTGTGGCTATCATTTGGAAATAGAGTTATGAACTATGATTGTACTGATAATTTTTTTTGAATAGTGTTTTATAAGCTTGCAGTTTAGTTTAAAATCATTTTGCTATGTTGGACTTTAAATTCTTTTCTAACATTGAGGTAGCTTTTTGTTGTTGTTTATTAAAATTGTATTAGTTGTATGAACCTGATTTATTCAACTTATTTTTTCACTGAACTTTGAATTTTCTAGTGGATTTTATCTGTTTAGTGAATTTACAAATCTGCATCTGGTATTGCAATTTGCGAGCTTTTCAGATTACAGAGCAATATAGTTCTTTCATATAAGGGTTAATAAGTAGCCAAGTTAGACTCACCAGTCCATTGTTATATGAAAAGAACCACAAAATTTGCTATCTCTCATTCCCTTTCATACTTTTTTTTCCTTTCATAGTTTTATTTATTTGATATATTAAAGTAACATAAAAATTGAGACTTTTATATTTTAAAACAACATAGTTTTAAATTTTACTTCCTTGTAGATTCTTATGTTAATTTTAAATAATTCCAATTAACATGAACTTAGTAATAGTCTGATCAAGGTAGATCTTGCTCCTTGCCTCTACTTCCCAACTTTCCCATATCTCTCCCCCGTTTTTACCTGCAGATTTGCATGTTTGACCTAGCAGAATAATTGGGTCCACAGCAACATGGGCGTGCCTCCCTTAGAAACACTTGGTTTCATGTATGACTCATAAGCTGAAGCACAGACACCACTTCCCCAATCTACAGGAGCCATTTTAACAGCATAAAACTTGTCGGATTGCTTTTTATTTTCAAGCTCAAAGGACGATATCTAAAGAGAAAAAAATATTTGAAGGTAATTTGTTACGATTCTGTGTATTTGCTTCTGGCTATTTCTTGAACTGATAAACGGAGAGGGTGGTTCTTACCTGTCGAAGAACATGGCTGAATGTGTTCGTTAACTCTGATAAAATGTGTGTTGTCAGTCACATGCCTATTGAACTTCACTACCAGGAGGAAACAAAACACTCAAATTCTGGGAAGTTTTAGATCTTCTTGGTAAAGCATTTTTTTATATCTTGTGATTGTTTTTTTTTTTTTTCCTCTCCCGTGTGATTTAAGAATAAAGGAAGTTTTTCTTTTTTTATACCACAAAGCACACTAGGTCAAATGTTTAAAAAATCGAATTGTATTTGTGGGGGTAGCTGGGAAGTTGCAGTTAAGAAACTATATTTTTCATGTGTGATAGGGATGTTAAGAATTCAGGGACAGTGGCTTTAATTTGGCATTTTAGCTAAGGGTGAGTTTTGGGACAGCTCAGTCCATAGGTGTTGCTCATTGACTATTCTATCTTCTCTCTTTTTTTAAGTTAATGAAATTATACTAAACATTTCATTTTGGAAACTAAATAGAAATTTAAGTAAAATGAACAGTCATTGAGGTAACAATTAAAGGTGAATATTAAATAAAGATTAGAATATTCATGTACTGTTAGAAAAAATTGAAGTTTTGTAAATCTCACTGGAAACTTTTTCTGAGTAACAACTTTAGAAGCAAAGCTATTTTTTTTTCTTAATCAGCTTTCTCAGGTTGAAAAAACTGTCTTCTAAGGAAACATGTACTATTTCAGTATTGTGTAAAAAGGAGAAGTAAAGAGATTTGGCCTTCCTTCTGGACTACAATTCTTAAAATTTGCTTGTTTTGAATTGAAAACCTTTTGTAAATGAAAATGTTGCTCAGTCTTTTCCTGAAATATTTGTTGTCATTGATTTACAATTTGTTGAGATTTTTGTCTGACAAGTGTCATGCTGGTATGCCTTGAGGTTCTAGGTACAGTATTCTGAGAAACTGAGTGTTATAGTATTTTACTTGTGAAACATTTATGAAACTAAAATTTGAATGAAAATAAAATATGAGTATGCAGTGATTAGGAATAAAGTTTTTGGAAATAAAACTTGCCAAGTCATTTATTGTTGGCTAAAATTGTATTTAGCTAGTACTTTGAGAATTTGCTGTTAGTAACTTTCTAAGTGCTTGAAGGCCTATTAGATGAAAGGGAAGATAGAAAGGCAGTTAGTTATTATTCCACACTCTTTTGAAAGTACTGTTGATACTAACATATCTCAATCTTGTGGTCTTACAAGAAAGGCACAGCAGACATTTTTCCAATTCAGCTCTGAGCCATTTGCTATCATCTTCGTTTGCATATTGCTGGTTTAGTCAGCCTTTGTGTTTACTTCTGGTCTGATCTGTGTGAAAAATCGAATGAAGGCTTTTTTCTTTTAAGTTTTTGAAGGTTGATGATCCATAAGAGAACAAACAAGAGGGTACAAATAAGCAGCACAATTAAGATCTTATTTATTACAGAGAAGTAGAAGAATTTGATTTCTTAAAATTAAGAGGCATTTTAAACAAAATAGATACCATATATACTTCACTTTCTTGTGTGATAAAGACTGAAGTGAGGCTTTAAGAAAGGAGAAGGAAAAACAAGTCAGGAAGGCAAGGAAAGGCTAGGAGAACTTTTTTTCTTCCATAAGGTTGAATGTAAATTTAGACAGCAACCAGAATTAAATTTAGAATTACTGATTTACAGAACTTTAGTGCGGAAAGAGACTGAAGATTGTCCAGCGTCTTCAGTTTTAGAGATGAAGAAATAGCGCGGAGGGTCCTGTGACTTGTTCCAGGTCATGCAGTGTTTAATGGCAGGGCTTCCGAGTGTGGAGCGGCTCTTGCCAGTCCACAACAAGTGACGCTTTGTTTGAAGTGTTCTGTTTCCTTAAGAGTAAATAAAACCTTAATTAACATGTTTGGTGATAATTTTTGTGATAAGATGCAGCCAAGTGGATTAATTAGTGATTTTGAAAATGTAGATAGCTTCCTTTTTTACCAGAAAGAAGATGATGCATTTATTTATTTTATTTCTACAGCAGCTTTTTTTTTTTAACCGTTCGATGTTTTTGTTTGTGTCATTGCTTATTTGAGATGGCCCTAGATGGAAATACAAGGAGTTGGGAATTTAGTTTGAGCTTCTAGATTCAAAGACGGGTTTGTTTCTGCTTCAGTCTTATTCATATTCTTTTAGGAGGGCAAATACTATTTAATATGATAGCTTGTTCTACTAAAAGTGCGTGTGTGTGTAAAACTTTGTATGTGACTTTCCTGTGGGAAGGTAGTAATCTCATTTCATTTATGCTTGTCATTCCTTCTCTCCTCATCCTTTGAGAGAAGTACTTTTAGAATCTGCTGGGGAATACAGAATCTGTCTATGAACTTTTTGGTGTGTATAACTGGGATGGCTGGAAATTTACCTTAGATCTGCTTGTTCTATAGGTCTGAAATTTGGATTTTTTAAATTGCTTTGCATATAACTGTTGAATCTCCTAAATTTCTGAGTGTTCTAACCCAGTTCAACATGAGATCTTCCACAGTATGGCCATCATTGTCCTAAGCAACAAACAGCATGAAGGCTAGAATTCTTACTGGAAAAACAGGGTTTGCTATCAAGTGAAAGAAGTAAAGAATAGAACCAAACTGCTGACTAGGTAAGTTCAGGTTCACACTGCCTAGAGATAAAAGGTGACTGAAGCTTAACATACTCAGGAAAGTTCATCTTAAAGGAATTATGAGTACTGAAGGATGAATACCCTTTACCTAGGTTAATAGGAATGTCTTCACCAATAAGACTATGAACTCTTTGAAATCAGAGATGTTTTATTTTTTTGTTTTGTTTCGTTTTTCAACCTGTGACAAGGTAACAAACACATATGAATAGGCAAGTATTATTTGCTGCATTAAACCTTTGGCTGCTCTTTGTTGCCATCTTATGTGACAAAACCAGTTAGCTGTCCTGCTAAAGTTAGGGTTGGCAAATCTTTAAAAAGCATGTGGCCCTCAGCTTAATCTCTGTCTGGTATCTGCACACTGTAGCCATTCAAAGAAAAATTAACACTTACCTGGAAGTATTACCTTTAAAGCCCTAATTGTCAATCTTTGGTATAACAAAGAATCACTTGGCTTCAACTTAGAGATGTCTGATTCAGTAACCCTAGGGTTTGGTTTACGAATCAGCATTTTTACTCAGTACCCTAGATGATTGTGTTACAGGTGGTCATAGGCCACACTTTCAGAAAGAGTTTACAATTTTAAGGCTGTGAAGAGCAATTAATCAGTAATTTTAATATTTGAATTTCTGGCAGGGCTCGGTGACTCAGCCTGTAATCCCAGCACTTTGGGAGGCCGAGGCGAGTGGATTGCCTGAGCCTGCGAATTTGAGACCCGCCCGGGCAACTTGGCGAGACCTCGTCTCTACAATAAACCAAAAACTAGCCGGGCGTGGTAGCGCGTGCCTGTAGTTCCAGCTACTTGGAAGGCTGAGGCTGAAGAATTGCCAGAGCCCAGCGGGTCGAGGCTGTGGTGGCTGGGAGCGGCCGCTGCACTCCAGTCTGGGCTATGGAGTGAGACTCCAACTAAAAAAAAAAAAATTGAATTTCTAGGCAACAATGATATTTTCAAGCCCACATCCTCTAGTAAAGAAGGAGAGCAACTAGGGAACTTTATTATCAGTGTTAGAACCTTTTCCTGTCCTTATCCATTTGTCTAGTCCTTTCTCTAGTCCAGTGTTCTGTGGTGTTCAACTATGTGGCTCTCCCTCTTTCCTTTTCTCGGATTCTGCTCTCCCCAGCCAACTGCCATATTGACCATGGTATATAATTAAACTAATTTTTGTTTTTTAATGTAATTAACCTATTCTTTTTTTTTTTTTTTTGAGTTGGAGTCTCACTCTGTTGCCCCGACTGGAGTGCAGTGGCCTCTCCTGGTCACCGCAGCCTCGACTTGCTGGGCTCCGGCGATCCTTCCGCCTCAGCCTTCCAAGTAGCCGGAATTACAGGCACACACTACCACACCAGCTGATTTTTTGATTTATTGTAGAGATGAGGTCTTGCTGCCCAGGCAGGTCTCGAACCCGCGGGCTCAGACAATCCACTTACCTCAGCCTCCCAAAGGCGCAGGATTACAGGCTGAGCCACCGAGCCTGGCTTCTATTCTTTTTTTAATTGAATTCTTTCAGTGTTTTTGTTCTTTCGGTTGTTTGGATATGCAAATTTCTTAGAGAAGTGATTTTTATTTTTTTAATTTGTGATTTTGTGAGATTGGTTCTTGTCCTATGCTCTACTCCTTTTTACTCCTTATGCTCTACAACCTTTTTGGCATCAGGAACCAGTTTCATGGGAGACAGTTTTTCCATGAACAGGTATGAAGGGATGGTTTGGTGATAATTCAAGTGTGTAACATTTATTGTGCACTTTATTTCTATTATTATTACATTATAATAGATAATGAAATAATTTTACACCTCACCATTTTTTTAAAAAAAGGTGCAATGGAAGTGGTAAAATAATGCATGGGCCACACATGAACTGAAATAAATGTTGGATTCCGACTTAAATCCTGCCACCAGATGCTGCTGTACGGCTGAAGTACATGAGCTCACTTACCACTCACGGATAGGGTTTTGATATGAGTCTACAAGCAAATAATTTGTTATAGTCTCTGTGCAGTCAAACCTCACTACTAATATTAATCTGTATTTGCAGCCGCTCCCAGGTCTGGGATCGCCACATCAGACATTACATTCTCTTAAGGAGTACAGAGCCTAGAGCCCTCACATGTGCAGTTCACAACAGGGTTAGCACTCCTATGAGAATCTAATGCACCACTGATTTGAGAGAAGCGGGGCTCAGGCAGTGATGCAAGCAATGGAGAGCCGTTGTAAACATCACTGAAGCTTTGCTGTCTCACCCACCATTCACTTCCTGCTGTGTGTCTTTCATAGGAACAGATACCTCCCACTGA